GCAAGGCCAATGCATGTATTTTAGTACTTTACGAGGTGTAAAAGACGTGGTTAAGACTTCAGCATTTTAAGATTAATTTTGAAGATTAATTTAAACTCAAATTATTTTTATCTCAAATGCAAGTAAATCTCAAGGATTTGAGCTTCTCTTTAAGGAATTCTATTGCATTGCGATGAGTGTGTTGGACTTGCTGAGTGCCATTCAGCGACGTAATTTAACGAAAGAAGTCTAACAGTGAGGAATTTAACTTGAATTAAGCCGTTGATGGTATGCTGTTTAGCATCATGACCAAGCGAGTTGAGCAACAGGCTTAGCACCGTGAAGTCAACCTTATGAATGACAAGATTTCTGGCAGTAGTCCCAAGTAGTGATGTGATAATCATGTGTTTTTCTGATAGCATATTTTTTTGTAGCATTGAAAAAATCTAATTTGTTTATATCAAAATGATACTAAAAAATTAAATTAGCATTTAGCTTCGAATTAGCTAATTGATAGGACCTTGATTTGTGTTTTTGTAAAAGTTTGTTGCTGTGTTGCTGTTGTCTAAAGTTGGGCAGAACTATCATTTAGCAGTAGGTATTTCCATGGAGGTAAAAAAGAGCTCTTTTTTACTTCCTAACTGGACACTAATTTTGGTCCTGAAGGTGTCTCCTTTTTATATTAATAATGCAGTACAACCCCCTACTTTGGGTCATCCCCTATGAAGGAAATACTCTGCTGCAGAATGGAAAAAAATTATCTTTTAACACTGTGGCCAACCCCAAAAGGGACAACTAACTGGACACTAGTTTTGGTCCTGAAGGTGTCTCCTTAAAATGGACATTATAAAATGATTTTTTATATTTTTTTTATAACATTTTAGACAATGAATAATCTGTAGCAAAACTCTTTGATGTGCTAGTCTCTTTAAGAGGCCTGGTAATGTAGTTGTTATTAAAGTAGTCACTGACATACTCTGTGTCCATGAATTTCCACAGGTTAAGAGATTCACTCATGGCAAATTGGAAAACAGCATGAGTGCTTACAACTTTTGAAATGTTAGAAAATGTTAGGTATGGTGATCAAATCATGATCTATTTATAATGATCATTGTGTTTGCTGGGATTCTTCACTTAACTCGGCATTTATGCTCAGCTGAATCTCTTGCTGTCTTTGTTTAGCAAAGACTGAAAACTGAGTATAAGGAATTGGTAGGTATGTTAGTTGGATATTATTCACCACTCGTTGAACATTGAATCATCTTAAAATTTCAGAGGAATGGAGTGGTGGCGTATTTAGATTTCAAAAACCGTAGTTTATTATTACATTGGGATATCTTCTACTTAGTTAATATTTCATGGCTTAGTTGTTTTTGTTTTTCAAGCTTTTCCTATATCTGGACAAATTACTGTAGAAGTATAAAATGCATATTTTTTGTTAAACTACGTTGGTCATCACACTCCATACATACGCTATTAATATACATGATGTTGGTTTACAGTTTCATACAGTACCAGAATTAAGAACTACTTCGTCATAATGTGGTACTCTAAAGGACGCAAGATTCTTGTTTACATTTTATAGATGTTTTAGATCCAATCTTTAACAATTGGAAAGAGATTGTGCTTCTCTAGACTGTGCATGCGTAGAGCTACTGTACACATATTCTATACTATCTGGGAATGTGCAGCCAAATCATTTTATTAATAGGTGAATGTTTACACATACATTTGATCGAAATAATGATATGATATGATACACTACTTAGTCTTCGTTTGAACAGCTCTACGATATGTCTAAAATGTCATCTAGTTCTGAATTATCGTTTGAAATGTGAATTAGCACACACTTGAAATGTGAATTATCATACACTTGCTTCAACTTAGCAGTTAACCAACGGAAGTTATCCAATAAAGACAGACCTCTACAGTTATTTGCAGCTTTTCCTGTCCAATGTATACTTTCAATTTATTGCACTTGTTGACTTGTGGAAAAATATATCATGACATTTGGATGCTTTATGCTACATTAGGCTCCAAATAGACAAGACACAAAAACCACATTTGACGAAAAACTCTGAAGCGGTTAATGCGATACAGGTTTTTGAATATGTAAAAACTGTGGGAGAAAGATGGAAAAAGGGTGGTTACACCCTTTTCCCCTCCTCCCAGTTTTTAAATATTAAAAAATATGTCTCAGTGGCTTCCGAGTTTTTCATGAAAAATGCATTTTGTTTTCTTTTAAAAATAATCAGTTGTACAACATATCAAAAATTGTTTTCCCTCCGTAGCCTGGCTCTAACTTTCCATGTATTAAGATTTATTATGTTATTCATATTTGGAATGCATTGTAGCCTAAATATGGATCCCGACCCAATTATTGAGAGTAGTTTGGGAGAGAAGTGGTAACATACAGTATTCTAGTGTGTTAGCCTAAAACCACTAGCCAAACTATATATTCATTGATTACATATCTAGATGAAAATTCATACTTAAAATTATTTTGTGTTTTATTGTTTTTTTAATAGTCATTTCTATGTCAGTTGAGATTTGTTGAAAGATATAAAATCTTGAAATGATTATGCATGATGGCATAATATTATTTTAACTTTGAGGAGTAATACTAATTATGAATATGTAGGTCAAGATTTAATGCTGTGATTTGTATCGGTTTTTACTATACTTTAAAGTACTTCAGTATTGTCCATTTGAAAGTTTTATCTTGTCCACTGCTTACTTATGGGTCAATTCCAGAATTTTTATCTACTGGATTTAATATTTCAAATTGTTAAAGCCCCTCCTTGAAATGTTTGTAGGGTGCTATAAAACCACATATTATATATATTTTATTATTGTTAACATAACTTATCAGAATATACAATTTGTGATGACTACATAACTTCTTAGTAGATGTTAGTTTGCATTTGTATGTAATTAACATCTGTACACCTGAAGGTGATTTTAATAGAACATTTATTTGATAAGTTTGTTCTATAGGTCTAAGTACAAGAAGTCTGGAATCTTCCCTACCCTCAATCAGTGGAACAGATTTCTTGACAAACCTGTGGACTATAATAGAAAATTAAATGGAAATGTTGAGTATGTGCTGTAGAGGAGCAATCATTCGGAACAGTATCAGCTCACTATTAGCGTTTATTATTATCATTATAAATGAGGATAAATGATGGATTCTGTTTTATTGTACAGTGTGCCTCTAACCTTGTTCCCACCTCTACCCTCAATTGTACTACTAAGTCAAGTAAAATAATATAAGGTATTTAGTCCATACTGTGGTTTAATAATAATAATAAAACATATCCACAGAAACACTTGTTCACATTTGTATTCGTGACCACAACGACACTAACTCATGATAATAGATTAATAAAATAATGATATTATAATAATATATACATTGTACTTAAGTAATAGTTTGTCCCTGATTCATTCACAAATATAATTCTTCAATGAAATGAATTTGGAGACCATGCTCTTTGATGTTTATGTGTTAATTATGAAAAATGTTAATTTTGTAAAAATTATGCTTCATAAATTTTTAACAAAATAAATGTTTTCACAGTATATTAACAAAAGGTTTTTTCATACTTATCTTGTGTTGTATAGTTTAACCTGCCAGTTGAAACTGAAAATACTATGTATCTTAGTTACAATTATCTTTTATCTTGTTATTAAATTTAAAATGGTTAAACTATAGATTAATCATTAAATTCATAATTTAAAAAAAATTCATAATTCAATTGTATACTACTTTTAATTTTACACAGATCATAACACAAATCACTTAAAATAATACAAAAGAGTAATCTTAACATTTTACATTTTACAGTAATTGAAAGTAAGGTGGTGTCAATACTATAGATACCTCCACCATTGTACAATACTAGATTTCCTAGCTCACCCACATGTTAAACATGTTTGACCACATGGGAAATACATATAGGTTTACCTGGTGGTAGTATATTGATAGATTTACAATTAGGTTCAATGGATTACATTGCTCATTGGATTAAAAGCTTGACTGCTTGCAAAACAAAGTGTGCCTTTTAGTCCAAGGGGGTCATACCTTACCCAGGGGAAGTAAATTTGTACCTTTGTCCAAGGTGGTGATGTATGTATTGTACCCAGGGGAATTAAATGGTACCTTGTAAGATACTTATTGTTGTTTGAATTTGTCATACATCATTATCATTGGATTGATATTTCACATTGCAATTTTTATTTAGCCATGGGTTAAAATACTTCAAGGTAAGCATAGGGTCAACACAATAACTTTTACCAGCTTACCTATAATGGGTTGGGGAGGAGGTTAAACGGTCCTTTCCTAAGTGTCAATCAAACTTAACCAATAAGAAAAGTGCCATGAATACGTGCATGTCCAACAAACATTCATAATAGGGACATTTCGCAACCTTACGAAAACGATAATGAAAACATCATCATTATCGTCATTTTTGCCTAAGATATTCTTTACAATACATACAAGCTGAATACGATCGTTTATTCATGTAAAGGCATAGATGGAGCTACGTTGTCAAAGATGTGCTACTGTAGGGAATGGATTGACTAAACATTCGATGATGTAACCATATTCGTTAACGTTTTCATTAGCTTGTGAAACCTCCGTTTTCTCAAAAACATGTGTTTACGTACATTTTATGCCATTGTTTTTTAGGACCCCAGCAACAATATCCAAGGGGCGGAGTTTAGTGGAAAACCCATTGGAACATGGAAAAATATATTTATTTCTTTTTTATGTAAATGTAACTACCATAGGTGTCGGTGATGAGTGCACAAATATTTTGCGCTAGGGCTTGTATCCGTCACTCATTTGGATGTTTGGTTCCATTGGCCAACTAATTTCAACATTCATTCTCTGCTAAATAGTTTTTGAAATATTATGATGATTACGATACTGTATTTCTTTTCTATGATGGCAATGATTATAGCGGTGACAGTTATATTGTGTGTTTATGATTTAAAACCCTTTTTTGTTTTTGTAGGCCTTTGGAAATGCAAAGACAGTTGTGAATAATAATAGCAGTCGTTTCGGAAAATTCATTCAAGTCAACTACAGACAGAATGGCACAGTACACGGGTAAGATAAAAATAACATGAAATATCAAGCAATTAATTGAGACCTGGAGCTGGGTGCTTAACATACTTGCCATCCAATCCCATGGTCTGTCATGCTCAAATGTTGTGTTCAAATTCAGAGCAGGCAATCCAATTTTAGAAATGGACATTGGAATTAATGATTATTTGCTGTGACATTTTGGTTCTAAAAGATATTAACCAGAAGCGTGTCCAGAGAATAACTTGCAACATATTCTCTACTGGCCTTGTAATCTTGTAGCATTCGTAGCTGACTCTTATACACATCTAGATGTGTATAATATATATATCCATTTTACATCCTTTTTTAAGTGTGGTCAACCTTAGATTTGAGGTTAACCACACTTAAAATCCCTTATATTCTTACTTTATTTATTCAATGTTTGCTAATACCAGCCATGCTGGTTGTTTTTAATTTGCTATTCTCACAATAATGATAAGAATAAATAATAATTTGTTAGTCCTCATTCAAATTGGAAATCAGAAATTTGGGCTGGGCCCATGGGGACCCAACTGAACTACACTATACAACAGACCCAAAGAAATATTGTCTTTAACCTGTCTGACTCTTAATTATGAGGGTTATTTGTGGATCCACGCGATCAGACTCCAATTAAAGCTGACGCTGGCTGGGTTTGAACCGGGGTCTTCAGCACAAGAAGCAGGAACAATACCTGTCAGCCAACCCCTCAGCACCAACCTAACTTGGTTCGTGTTAGGTGCCCACATTCTAATCCTAAGTTCATGATCTTTTTCAGGAGCTTTCTAATCAAAATTAAATTCCTAGCACTATCAGACTGAAGCTAAATTTTGACTCATTTTTTGTTAAACTAACCATGTACTGTACCTCATCAGTTCTATCCAAAAATCTAGCACAAACATTTTTTTTGGTAAAGACCCTAAAGCTACACACAGTGAGGTTAACCAAGCAAATCATGCATTGGGATGTTTTGTTTGGTGTAAAGAAAAAGGAAATATTTATTATCAATTTATCATAGGGAAAAACCATGAAACCATCAATTCCAGATTCATATTCCATTTATTGTTACATTACAAGGCAAGTCATTTTAGATAATTTGAACTGTAAAAGCTGGACGTATATGCAATTGTGGAAGAGTGGCTCAGTGGGAACGGTTTTTATTCAGCTTTATTCACTATGCCCAGGTATGCCAAACAGTGAACTTAATCACTCTACAAAGTGGCAATCCCTTCACAAGTCACAAGACAAACAATTATACACAAGACGCTTCACATAGACCAAGTCCCATTATGGGGCTTAGGGAGTGGGGTTGTTTTGGTTGTGAGAAAAAAATACTGTTACTGTGACAGGAATTGAACCCAGGACCCTGGGATTGGACCAACCAAGCATCTTAACCAACCAAGCTATTCAATCTCTCGCTGTGCATTTCACTTGTGTCATTGAGTATAACTGGGTACCTGGTGGGGTTGCCTGCTACTGCACCAATATGGCAGCAACATTTAAGCATGTGGACCAAATGACCAGGGAAAACAAAGCGCTTCGTAACCTAAAGGAAAGGTGCTTTATCAAATACCAAGTAACAAATAACAAAAAAAAAAAAAATCATAGACAGTTAAATATATAACAAACAGCTGAACTGGAGGAATACTCTGTGATGTTTCTTGAACAATGAAGTTCAATATTTGATATGCTTACTTGGCATAGTAAATTAGCTTCCAATTGAAAATAATTTCATTTTGTCAATTAACACATTTTCTAAAAATCTTTCTCATTGACCCATAACAATCGGATGGCAGACAATTTAAGGAATTAGTAATTAAATATTTGTAAGTCAGCAAAAAATGTGCGGTCTTCATCTTTGAAGTAGATAACTATTGAATTCAATGTTTTTATTAAGTGTTTTGGTTATTTTACCAGATTTTAACATAGTCATCTTTAATATAAATGATGTTAGTAATTAAAAGTTATATATGGTGTGAAGTGTTGCATTTGGTTTTGAATATTTGACCTTCAGGTAACATTTTCAACAGGATGATTGAATTTATAGCATCTGCAGAAATCAAATTCAATTAAGTTTTAACATAAATTGATGTCAATGACAAAGCCACTTTATAAAACAATACACAAAGTACATGTTGTTGAAATTACTCCAAGGTATCCTTTGTCAACTTTTTGTTTATTGGACAGAAGTTGTCAATATATGTAGAAGAGATGAAATACTTATTTGTGTAGTTTCATGTTATTCACAGTTTAAATACGTAAATCCTATACTTGATTCTCAAAATATATTACTTATAGTAATGTCTAATCATTGACATTGTCTGTTTGGATGCATACAAATTAGGGCTTTTTTTGCCTGGTCATGTCTTCATGACTAATTTACTAAAATAGTTTTTGTAACATGATAACTACACATTCTTTTGTCTATTGAGCATGGTACATACTGGGTAGCAGGGATTAATTTTAATTGGCAATAATTTTTATAATTGGGAGGATAGTCTTGGGTTCTGGAAATCATTCTGCCCAAAACAATAGAGTACAAATATAAAAGTCAAAAAATAATACGTATGCCTAAAGGAACTATGCATTTTGGGATAGGGGTGTTACTCCACTAAGGTCCTAGTGACCCGCATACCCCGCCCTAATCAAACTATGCATCATTTGTAAAATATAATATTTCAATGGTATGTGTGTTCATGCATACAAAGTAGGCCTTTACCAGACTATGGGCTTATGTTACATTATGGTTAGTATTTGAATTACTAGTTGATAATATTATATAAAATGTAGATGGTATTATAATTTACAGTTAAAATTGAATAAAGTAATTGTTCTTTTTCCCTTTAAATCTTTTTTTTTCGTACCAATGATATTAATGGAAGGATTGTCATACATATCCAAGTAAGAAAGTCTTATCTATGGTGACTTGCTTTAATTTTACTTTTTCATTTACAGATTCTTCATTTTGTCTCTACAGTATAAGTCTTGTTTAATCTATGCATTTTGATTCTCTTTCCTTTTTCCCATTTATATTTTCTGAAAATGTTAATTATAAAAATTACAGGTAAACTTTTTTTTTCAATTTGTACTCACAAATTATAACTGATTTGTTGGGATAACTTTCATTGAAGGCAACTGATATAACATCAGTGAAGCATATGGTACAGTTATCGTTTTCTTCTCATTAATTTAATTATTCTTTCCTATTTTTCATTTATCTTTTAGAGTATGTTATTACGTTATTATTCATGTTATTTCTCCATTACAAACCAACAGCATTAATCAGTTTCCACTTAATACAAGTGCATACATTAAAAAAATTGTTTAACAACTTTAAATGTAATACAACAAGAAATAAAAGGGCATAAGAACTGAGATGTAACAATAAGAAAAATGTGAAATCGTACAGTAAGAAATACAGCTTAGGCAGTCGTCAGTAACTAAAATATATGTATGTGTTATGAATCTTTTTGTTGGTTTTTCTTCCTTCTTTAGTGCAATTGTGGAACAATATCTTCTGGAGAAATCTCGAATTATTTTGCAGTCTCCAAATGAACGCAACTATCATGTGTTTTATTATCTTCTTAATGGTGCAACTGATCAAGAGAGGGAGGCATTTTGGCTACAGAAACCGCAAGATTATAACTACTTAAATCAAGTAAGTGGCATGCGATGTTCTCAACCAAGATTAACAAAGTTAACCACTTGGTTACAAGTTACTCTAGACTGACGTTCTGTTTGTTTCCTTCTCTTACTTATAACTAGTAGTGGTCAGTGGCGCCCTTTCCCTTTCAGCAGCAGAAAAAATCAAAACATAAAATTGTTTAGATATTAAAATGGCGGAAACTTAATGGGGCCACGCCCCTCAACTCCTCTATAGTCAACTTGTCTTTCCAAAACCATCTCCTGCTCATAGGTCCTGGATTGGAGCTTCATATCAAACAATTCTGGATCTTTCTCTGATTACACCATCAACAACTTTTTCAACACACTCATTTAAGGATCTTAATTTAGCCTCAGCTATGAGAGAATTTCAGTACCAGAAATGTAGAAACCTTGAATAGCAATGAAATTACATTTACTTACAATCCTGGCCTGACTACTCAATTTTGCAACTCTTCATATTTTTACAGTAGATTAAATACTCTTTCCATACCATATTTATTCCCAACAAATAAAACCAGATTTCAGAATTTTGTAGTCTAAATAAAGTTTTTTTATACAAAGAAAAAAGTTCAATGAAAGTATATGAAAAAAAAAATCAAATTAAGACATTGAAATCAGTATATGCAGCTGACTGAGACTGAGCACTTACCACCAGGGATGGAGATGGTTTAATAAAGTTAATGACGAGAATTTAAATGTCAAATTTTGTTCACTTTTATAAAGAAATTTAAATTAGAAGAGAAGCCTGAGACAAACAATATGAAGATTGCAGTGAAAGTTAGTTAAAAAGGAAATCATGAAATTATGCCATTGGGAATTAATGCAAAGCTAAATTTAAAGTATTATTGATTTTTTTAAACTATGTTTTTTGATGATTTATATGGATGCAAATGGTGAACAATGCCTGTTAGATTATTTCTATGACTGACACAGGAGTAAAGCATTGATTTCTATAGTGGTTCAATATTTGTTGCCTCTGAATACTATCTATATTAAATAAGGTTTATATTTTTAAATAGATACCTTGGTCTTAAACAGATAAATTTTAATAGAGATACATCTAATAATAAATAGAGATCTTAGTTCAGAATAAAGATGTTTCTATAAATATCCAAAATGACATTTTGCTTCTCAATGGGTCTATTTAGAAATTGGTTAGAGTAGTCTAATTAAAGTATTTTTCAATTATTAATTCAATAATTTTTCAATTATTTTCAATTATTAATTTGCTAATTGCTGTGCCAGTGCTATTGGTTTTCCCCCTAAAATTTTACCTTGCCCCTCCCTTGCCCCCCCCCCCCAATTTCAGACGCTGGAGCCACCACTGGCTAATTGTTATTACAAAATGGTTATTCTCTATATTTTTTATTACAAGTTTTAACTCTCCATCACTTACAATATTTTGGTAGAGTAAATGTTATACAGTTGATGGGACGGATGAGCGATATGAGTTCAATCGTCTACGACAGTCAATGGAGATGGTTGGCTTTTCAAATGAAACAATGCGAAGGTTAGTACATTATTAATTATCATATTGATATGTAATAATATTTGTTTAGATTTTTCTGTACAACTTAATTTTCTTTAATGAGTAGTTCAACCCATTTGCCCAATTCTCAGCAAGTCTGATGTATTTGTATATACAGGTAGAACTTAAATTAATAATTTCAGTTATTTTAATTTTATAAATTTAAAAGAATTACATATATATCGTAAACAATACCAAGAGGATAATAAATTGTCCAGTAAGTTGCAGTAGAAGAGGACAAAGGAAATATGGGCTGCTTCCCTAACAGTTTGTCCACCCATAGTTTGTTTCTGCACTTCTAGATTTTTAGGCACTCGCTTTCCAAACGTAAAATTAAAAAACAATTTAAAACTAATTTTTAAACACCATTTTTTTTTTCATTTTAAATATGAACCCTCCAATAATGCTAAAAAGAATTATATGAAAATTTATAGTAAATATATACGATTATAAAATTTTTAAAGTGTTAAAGATAGAGTAATCTGCTTAAGGAAAACAACAAATGTTTACTGTAATTTCTTAAAAATATGAAATAAATTGTGATGATTAATTATAGTACTATAATCATAGATATTTTCCCTAGAAATTAGTGGTTTTACATAATAAGGCCTATCAATTAAAAATGCAATGTGGTTAAAAGCTTTGCTTATTTTAAATTACTGTTATGAGATGAAATTTTGTTTTGTTGTGACAACACATAATTATACTTGTTATCGTTGACCTGGTATCCTTGGGACAATAGTGCATGCACTAATCCTATAATGTTCTGTTAATTAAACCAAAATTAGTTACAGTAAGATCATCTTGGTAGTATGACATCCGTAAAGGCTGCTAGTACATGCTGTTAATTTTTGTATTTTAATGTTTTAAAAAATACAATATAATAATTTCACACGTCCTAATACTTGTGAAAATTTGCAGGTCTTTTCCAGTTTTCAAGGATGTCCTCCGAGTATCTTCAAAATGAATTTTTCAAAAAAGAATTTTAAAACATCATGTAAATTCATATAATAAAACAGCTCAATTTGGGTCAAATTCTCTTAGTGAGATAAGGAAGAGTAATTAAACAATTAATTGTTTCTAACTATTTTTATGTTCACATCTGTTCTTATTGACAGTCCATCTTCACCTTTGTGTACTTAATGTATATTCAAGAAATTGATATTGGCCGATATTCTAATTCAATATTTTGAAATGCATTCATGCATGTCTAATGATTACTCCCTTAGATCTTATGTTCATCACCCAATCAAAATCCTTTGTGTGAACCGCTATGTTATAATAATCCTCTCATAAACTTTCAACTCCTTTTTAGTAGAGTTGAAATTAAGGAATTTCTTCTCATCTAGTGCAAATGGTGTGTCTGTGAAAGTTATAACACGTCTAGTTAATGACGCATCATCTGTATATTTACATACAAAACCTGTATTATCAATTTGGAAACAGCTAAATAGATAGAAAAGGAGGTTAGGCAAAAGTATACCGCCTGTGCTAATGCATTTTGGAAGTACAAATTTAATTTGTCACTGCTTAAAAGAGAAGTGTTAAACACAGTTTTAGTGGGTTGAACTATCATTTTGGTTACATTTGCCTTAGTGCATAGAGAAAACTTTTATTAAATGATCTTAGTAACAACTTAGTGTTGCCTAACTGCAACCAAACAAAAATCAGGCAAACATTTAGGGTTCTTTATATGGCTTCCTCTTCTCGGAGGTAGATGCCCAAAATACTTTTAAAGCTTTCATTTTATCAAATTTATTAATGAATAATAACGATTAAAGAAACAAAAGGTAGAATTCAATAATGAAATGTATACTTGGTATTAATTTCATATTTGGTATCTAGTATAATATTAATTATGATAATATATGTATAGTGTATACAGATGAAAGATTATAATCATTGGTTAAACTTCTGTGAACACATGAACAAACATCTTCATTCCTGTGGGAGATCCTAGGCGTGATTCTGTGTAGCTCAGATGGAAGGGTATCAGCAGTGTGTGTCGGAGGTTAGGATTCATTCAGATTTGATTGGTTCTTTACATAGACTTGTTTCAGGCAAAATCACTCGGGTTACACAGAAATACCAAAAACACATATACAGGATGGCAATGCAAGATATTAAATATTGTTAATACTTTTTATTTTTACATCTAACCATCTTTAATAATAGTTTACAGCATTCTTTTCCTATTGATGATCTTGTAATTATGCTCGGAACCAACTACTATAGTTTCTTGGGTGTGAGCATACTCCTTGAACACAAAATTGTGCCAGTTTTTGAGATGGGTTTATAACTGAAGAAATTTACTTTCACTAATAGAGACCTCACTATTATGTGCTATATAAATCCCACAACATACTTACATACATACAAATATAAAGGTGATTGCTTTCCTAACAGCATGTTAATCAATTTTTCAGCACTTCATACCTAATTCAAAATTATTTTTCTGAAAGCATTCATAAAAGTCAGCTGAGATAATCATTAAAATTAATACCCTTGGCTTTTCCTGGGGAAGTGCTGGTACGTGAAATCAGACGTAAAGCAGGAGGTGAGCATTTACCTGAAGTGGGCAAGTGGGCAAGCCAACAATGACCAGATTAATTTTTAATCCCTGTACTAGATACTATATAGTATTTTTAAATTCTTTTACTTTCAACTAAATTCTTAATATTATCATTAGCAAATAAAAAGGACCAAAAACATTTGGCTCATATAAAATAATATTTTATATTTGTATATTTTATTATGTCAAACAATAGTTCAGCATATTGATGATGATATTTTCTTACTGTTAAATAAAAAAGTTCAAGGACCAAAAACATTTGGCTAAAATCATAAAATCACATTTTATATTTGTAGTGTGTACCCAAAGTATTAAAACACTTCCGTTGTCCAGTGTTTCTATCTTTAGCGGCCACTTCTTCCTTTCTTTGCCAAAGACTTACTCTTGATTCATTCAAGTTTATCTGTAAATTTCATCTGTCTTCCTTCCCATCTCCGTTTATACATTTCAGCAAGCCTAGAGGGGTTTTACAGTTTTACAATGTTTTATGACAGACATTCTGCTATCTGTAGATTTAAAAATTCCAATAAGTGATATATAATAATAATAATAGTGTAGTTTTATATAGCGTACATATCCATCTAATGTAAGATGGCTCAGGGCACTTGATACGTGGACTAGGAACTCAACCAATGACTTTCTTCGCCCCTAAGGGTTCCTTCGTGTCTGTGCTACCCGGTACCAGCAATTGTCGTCGTCCACCACAGGGGCAGTGGCGGCTCTAGGATATATTTTCTGGGGGGGAGGAGCTAAGTTGTCCGACAAGGGGACTTGAGCTCCTAGGCTCGAGCTGGGGGAAGGGGCTGAGAGGGGGATCCCCTCCCAAATTAGATTTTTTTTAAAGAATAGGAACCTCTGGATGGCCGGAAATGGCACCCTCAGAATGTGACAGTCATGTGTTGGCTTGGTCTGGGCCTATTTTTACATGTTTTATGGTCTGACTGCCCGAAGGATGTACTGGGTTCTTTATAGTGCACACGAGCCATTGTATACATTGTATATTAGATACATAAGCTGGAAACGACTAAATGAAAGATGGAGAGAACATTTACTTGTAGTTGTATTTAAGTATTTACATGGTTGTGCACCATCATATTTATCTTCAATGTGTATGTTTAATGATGATGTCCATCCCAAATGCACTCGAAGTCAAAAGGTAGTAAAACCTTAGTAGTAAGAAACTGGGGAAATACTCAAGGAAAATGAACCTTTCAATACCAATTAGCCAAACTTTGGAATAATCTACCAAACGAAATTAGAAAAAATGCAACTAATATGACCATAGTCAATTTCAAAAATATCATTTGTGTAAGTTTTATTAAAAGGTTATTTGCAGTTTGAACTTTTTGTCACTTATCGTGCCATGTATAATTTAGGTTTTTCTTTTTTCTTTTCTCCATTATTTTGTATACTTTTTTGTTCTGTTGAATATTTTACTTCTGTTTATACTCTTAACTCTGTTAAGAAAACTGGACCATTTTTAAAAGCAGTACTGTACTGCTGAAAATGCTATCCAGTCGAAAGAAAGAATAATAAATGCAGGTACTATGCCTTACTCTACTTGTCTATGTATGGTACTGTTGACCTGAGCATGAAATATTAATTTTTTAAAAATTAGTTTGTCATGATTAGGAATGACAATATTCCTGATATATTGATAATAGTAAATAATCATACATCCATTGCTTTACATTTAAAGGAAACATCTTTCCTGTTTCACAAAAATATTAATCAATACATTATGAAATATTATCAGGTTTTTTTTTTCAAAGTACGATGCTATTTTTAATAGTCCCTGGTTGCCATATGCACTTATAAATTGAGTGGCTAAAAAATTACATTATCCGAACTAAAGGTCATAGATTAAAAATGAGTAAGTTTTCATTCACAATTTGAAGGTTCTTACTGATGCAGCACATTTTACTTGAATTGACAATTTGTTGTTAGAATCGTAGCAAAAAATTGACTGTATTTGATGTACAGTATATAATACTGATCCGTACCTTAGATTAGCTTCTTGGATATATGGAGCATTTTATAAGACTTAGATGGTCATTGCGGTTGTTATTGCTGTTATGATAATAGTTTACCAATATCACTACTACTATAATTAGTGTTATCCTTCTTATGTAGTGGCTTGTCTTACCAGGACTTGGCCTACCACAAATCTCCATCTTTGTCTGTCCTGTTATTGTCACTTTGACGTGTCTTTAAGTGCGGTTCTTAAATGTGACTGAACATGAGACTTTGACCTCTTAGTATTATATACTCACACCAAACTATCATTAACACAAGTTATTATTTAAATTTCTCAAAAATTGCAAAAGTGTAGAAGAAAACAGGCATTTGATGTGTTATTACAAAATATGACAACTTAATTTATTACAAAATATGACAGAGAGTTATTGCAAAATATGACAGCTCTATTTTTACAAAATACAACATGGTTTGTTACAAAATACAACAGGTACTACAAAATATGACAAAGTTTGTTACAAAATACAACAGGTATTACAAAATATGAAATTATTACAAAATATATTGTAACAAACATGTCCCAAGTTAGTCTACTGGTACACCTCTCTCATCCATGTTCGCCTAGGTCTTCCTCGCTGTCTCCTTTTTCTAACTTTTCCTTCCAAGATGTTTCTTTGTGTAGTTTTAAAATTATATACTATATGAATTCCTCTTTGTATTAAATTGCTACCATACTATATATTGTCCTTTTTTATTTTGATTTGTGTTTTCCAATATATGGTTGTTGTTTTGAAGAACCATGAGTTAATTCTAGGCATTTACTGACCAGATTATGACTGATATTGGACAGGAGTGTGTGTTTGCATCTTAGATTAGACAAATAATATATTGTCTATCCAGATAAGCACATGTAAATCTAAGCGCACGGCAAACAGTTGATATTTCAGATTAAGAATAAAATGGTGTTTACACTTTGAGAAAGCACTCTCCAAAACATGTTTCTATAAACAATTGATTTTAATCAAAATTCCATTTCTAAGTTATTACTTTGATTATAATGATAAGACACTTCAAATTATATAGTACCTTTGTATTTGCCTGTGGGATGGCCGTGGGGGACACTATAAGATAGCTAGGCCTCAAGCTATACACCTGTATATTATATAGTATGTCATTCCCTAGCCTTGGCCCCGTGAACTTAAACTGTTAGATCCCTTAAAAATCCATACATTTTTAATTAAAATTTGTAAGATTTAGGTTGTTGGAATAAAGAATGATCAGTGTTGTTGTGGTGTCTATAAAATTCTTCTATACATCTGTACACTCCCGCAAACATTGTCCTCAGTTAACAAACTTAGTTTATAGAAGTATGGTCTTAGAATATGTCCTCATGCTTATCAATACATATGCATTGAGAAAATAGACCAGCTTGTTCTCCCTTGTAGAACTAGACTATTTATCATTGGCTTGTAAGACATGCCAATTGGATTTCATTACTAAGGTAAAGTCTAATTTTGTTTTCTTGTAAATTTCACATAAAAGTAGTAGTATATTATTACCTAAAAGTTTATTAGATATGATTAATAATAAAATAACTATTGTGGCATTATTATTACTTCTTGATTTATAACCCTTCTATTATCTTTAATGAGCTGCAATGTTCATTAAATGTTGATGTTTTTAGTCACTCTTCATCCAATGAGTCATTGCTTAGATACTCATACAATTCAACACTAGTTTCATTTGCCACTCCTGGGAAAGGCACAAGCTTTTGTTTGTGTCCTCAATCTTATTAGCGAGCGAGTATAATACTCACACTAATTAAATATTCTCTGATGTCATGAAATACACAATTTAATAAATTTTGTTATTATCCACATTACTGCTGTAATATTTCTAGTTGCTAGCTAGTTCTTTATAGCAATCTTTATTCTCAACATTTGTTTCATTTTTGTATAGTTTTCAATGATATATTAAAATATGTGAATTTATAACATTAAAAAAAAAGTTAATGAATTTTGGGAAGTCTTGGCAATTTTTGTTTTATCCGATATCCTGCAGTGGATATCTCTGCGTGCTCATGTACAGGACGTGATTCCTTGCGGTTGAAAGTGCGCAAGTATGGCTGGAAATTGACAGCAGAATTTATCAAGAGGATTTGCCGGTGGAATTGTGACTTTGTTTTGGAACAAGCACAGAAATAATTTGGAATGTAGGAGGAGACAAGGCATTCCTGAGAGACCAAGTATTTCGTCCGTTCCATCTGAACGCTGCTGAGTTTTTGCAGTCACATAATTTGCCGGAAGACAGACACCTTATGAGCATACTAAACACATAATTTTTTCGATTGTGAATGCACAAGAATATTTTTATATGAGCTTGTCTGAACAGTCTTTGAATTGTCTTTCTCGTGGAGTTTTATATTTTCATACAGTTGAAAATCCAATAAACAAAATGTCTATTGGCTATTTGAGTTGGTGGCATTTTGGCATCGGTTTTCTGCAAACTTTGAAGTTGTGCTCTTTAATTCTTTATAGGATTTTCTCGGTGCTCTCTGCTGTTCTTCACATTGGAAACATAACATTCCGTAATCGCATGGACCATGGTGAATCAGTCAATATCAAGAATATTGCTACAGTGAAAGTGGTCTCGGATCTACTTCGCGTCAAGCAAGAGACGTTGGTTTCAGCACTGACCAAGAGGAAATCCAGCGCACGAGGTGATCAGTTTGTTGTGCAATATAAAATGAGTGAGGTGAGTAAGAAATTTGTTTGTTTTTTTAACCTTGTATATTTATTAATTTATTTTAGCCTTGGGTAATATACACTATATGACATGTTTATTACTGATTATGCAGAATAATTGTTGGAAACTATTCAGTAGTTGGTTTTACACAAGAATTCACTTCACATTATTATTATCAACTTTACACAAATTTCCAGCTGACAGTTAACAACTGAAATGACAAACATTGAGATAAATAAAATAAAAAAACATAATTGTCCAATTCTACATCATTTTATTGGCCAGCTTTTATTAATTTTTGCAGGAATAAACAAAGCAGATTATTTGGGACTGTATGCTCTATATTGAAATCTTTTTATGAGGCTTGGGGGAGAGAAGAGCTTACCATTTGGGATCCATTTTTGCTCTATAACTAAGTCTCTTTATAGGCTTGCAAAGTGGAAAACTGAAAATTTGGGACCATTGATGCTTTATAATCAAATCTATGAGGCTTGGATATTTTAGAGTATGTAATTTGGGACCCTCAATTCTTTATAACTAGTTATCTTTATGAGGCATGGAGAATGAAGATCTTATGGTTTTCAACCCTTTAATTTCTATTAATTTCAAATTTTGATAAGTTTGAGAAGTGGAGATATTTTCATTTCCAACAAAGGTTCCTTATATGGCTTTGGTCTTAAGGCTAATGTTAGGATTGAACCCAGTTTTTGGGATTAGAAGAAAAGTACCACAACCACACTGTCACAACTGCTATCAATATGGTATTTACTCCAAATTGGGTGGATTTAATCATGTTAACATACATGCATAAGGTTTTTCCTCCGACCACTTAACATCCTGCATTATATTTCATCCAAAACTACAAACCTATGTTATTTACAGGCGATAGCAACTCGAGATGCTTTAGCAAAGGGTCTTTACAGCGCTCTATTTGATTGGATTGTCTTACAAGTTAACCACGCCCTTCTGGCTAGGAATGAAAAAGGCGACCACCAGGTGAGTAGTCAACAATATATTCACACCAGTTTATAACACCTTGCGAAGACACCTGGGAATGCAGTGAAGTGAAAAATTGTTAATTCACAATTTTATCTTAGTCATAGATTAATAAAAAAAGAATGAAGTGCATGTAAGACATGCTTACCCACAAAACAACACTGCAACATTAAAAGCACATCAAGAATAGCATACAAAAATGCAAATTTACATTGGCATTAGGTAATCTGACTTATTCTTCTATGTAAATAGGGAGGTCTTTCATTTCCAAACTCTCTAAAAATTCATTCTTTTAATTTCTATTTAATGAATAATTCAAGATAAGAAAGTATAATACATACTCCAAGTATTAGATTCAATATTTCAACATTAATTATGTCATCTTTGGAATAATTAAAAAATTTGTATTTCATTTGATGCAGTGAAGAAAAGTCAATTTTGAATTAAAACAAGTATTGATATTAGAATTCTATTATTTATGCTAATAAATAATATCATCAAACAAAAGTCAAAATCATATAGACTGCATATGAAGTGCATAGGTCAAAGTTGTCAGTTTAAACAAAGTATGCTCTGTCAGATTTTGTCTGTCAGATTCTGCAGACAATTTTTTATGAAACTACTATGTACCAATGCCCAGCTTCAGATATATTTGATCAAACAGATGTCCATGACTGTGAAAACTGCACTGTATGCTCTACTTCGTCAGACGTGTCTAATCAAACATTGTTAGGTCTGTCAGACAAAGGTAATTGCATAGAGGCCTATACAATTCACAATACAAATCCCATATTATTGGTATAGTGGTGTATATCTGTCATTAAAAGCAAAGCTATAACTAATACATTAAAAATTCGAAATTGTCAAAAAAATTTTTGGATAAATTTCAACAAACAGCTCATTTTAGTACATTTGAATTTTTTGATTTTTACTCAGCGTTTACGTAAACAACAATTCAATGTAAGTATAATTACAGTACAATGTAATCCATGTAACAAACTTCACCATTACCAACTAATCCTATTACATCTTTATGTTTTTACATTTTCTGTTGCTGACATATGCTTCATTTGTGCTAATCAAAAAATAAAATCTGCACTAGATTTAAATACTGACTTAATAATTATTTTTAAAAATTTAATTACTGGTAAATGAGCTAGCTGCACATCTTCCGTAAGCATTCCACATGGAAAATGTTTAGTGGGCGGATTTGAAGTGCCATGAGCAAGACAGATACCGCTATATAAGTGCTCATTTATTATTATTATTATTGTTATTGTTATTATTATTGTTATTATTAATATTTTTATTGTTATTGTTATTATTATTATTATTATTGTTATTGTTATTATTATTATTGTTATTACTATTATTATTATTGTTATTATTATTGTTATTGTTATTATTATTGTTATTGTTATTATTATTTTTATTATCATTATTATTATTATTATTATTATTATTATTATTATTATTGTTATTATTATTATTATAATTATTATTATTATTATTATGCATGCATAAAGGTGTCGACAATTTTTGATGCACTCTATAAGAAAAACAATTTGGTACATTGATAACCAGAAGAAAACATTTAATTTTTTTTTTCATTATAGTGTTTTCCATATGAAATTAATATTGTGCTTATTAAAAGTAGTCCCCACAAACTGAAGCTTTTTATTTTTGTTTAAAAACATTAAAAAATATTAACAAGTAACATAATTTTTGTTTGAATTCTGGCATCAGTTTTGCATGATAAAAATATTTAATTTTAAAGCTTATTACTAATAATGAATATTAAATTGTGAAATTTGATTTTAATTTATCTTTGTTTTATTTTTATTTTAGTTTTTATTCCTTTTATTTTTAATCCAAGAGTAGTAATTGGAAAATTAATTTAAAGCCCCATTTCCGGCAAAATTGCAGTTGTTAAGAAAAATCTAAAATTTTTGTATAATGTTATAAAGGTTTATAAATATAATACGGAATTGCTAGTTTAACGGAATTTAGACATTCCTAAGAATGAAAAAAATGTGAAATTTGATTTTTTTGTGTTCCACACAAAGATTAAATGTGGATGAATTTTCATGTTTGATTTTGCGATAGGTCGTGAGAAGAAATATCGTAGGTGCCGAAAACATTAGCCTATCCAACGCTGCTAGGCCTAGCCTTACTTCGATTTAGGTTCTGTTATCACACATAAAAACGGCCAACATGATATTTTCCATTGCTAGTAATGACACTTGTGAAATATAATATTTCATAGGAATTATTTCAAATTTGTTAAAAAATTGATTCTGACTGAGATTTTGACACTTAAACATATCTTAGCCTTAATCGAACGACCGCATTGTGCGAGATGCGAAGTACAAAAACTAATCTCATTAGAGAGGGCGCACTTTATTGACTGTATAAAGTATACATAAAAGCAAGAGTATTCCAGTGGATGCGATCTACAACCTCTGAATTTGCCTAGTAACGATGAATTAGTCGAGAAAATGGTAATATTTTATGAGAAATAGTCTGTAGGCCTATTTCTCATTTTTTTTAATTCTTTTGTGTAAACCTAAAATTCATGCCAATATTTTTCCATGATTTATAATAATTGGAGTAATGCAAATGCATATTTTCTATAAAAAAAAAAAATCGGTTTTTAGTGAAATTTTGCCGGGAATGGGGCTTTAACTGTCTACTAAAGTGCATGACCTAAACTTTTATTGTAGGAATAACTCACCTTAAAAGTAAATAACAAAAATTACTTTGGGTTACACTATTTAAAAAATGCATAAAATGCATGTTTTTAAATAAATAACTATTAATAATTTAAATTTTAGATCACTAATATTTTTCAATATTTATTTTGCACTAATATTATTGAAACTTTATGTACAGTTACATTACATCATACAATCAACATAATTTTGTTGCATTCAAAGTTCAAAGTGTTTATACAGTTCTTTGCTGATAATAAATAAATTTACAACTACTGTACAGATATCCTGAAAATTTAGATAAGAGGGGGTAAAATTGTTGCTGTCCTATTAATTCCGGGTATATTTATACAGTAGAGCTCTTGCTGTCTCGTCAGTGCAAGGATTATTTGTGTCATCAAAGTCATTTGGATTCACTGCACTTCATGTTTTAATTCAGTTTCATGCCCAGACACCAATAAAATGTTTTTGAATTTCAAATATATTAGTGTAGGTTAACCATGTAAAATATATATTAGTGTAGGTTAACATTTATAAAAATGTATTTACTATAGTTCCTCATATATAAGCCCATCTCATGTATAATATCCCTATTCAACATTTAAATCACATACCATCATTTAACTGGCCTGCAAAATTACTGAGCTTTGAAGTCTGCAAGTAGTGTTAAACATTTTTTTTTATTAACTGTCCCTATAAAGTTGAAACATTTGGTGTTTGCCATGCCAAAACCAGCACCAGTGACGAAAACTATAAAATTGACTTTATAATATTTTCATATTCTCCACATTATTAGCTTCAAAATGATAGGTCATTTACTGGCATGAACTTGCTATTGCCAAAGTTATGAGTAAAATCACTATTACAGCTTCTCGGTACTAAAGTATACAATGCTGGCACATCCTTTGCTAATTACTCAGTACGCTGGTTTTGGAATGGCAAGTCTTGCAAACAGATTTTTCAGGTATAAGCCAACCCCCAAAAATCTTTGTGTTCATAGGGGAGGTGGGATTATACTTGAGAATCTACAGTAATTTGTAAACAACATGAATATTAGACTTGAGTGGAAAGTTCTGTAAAATATGCTCTCCATTTGCCTATCTTTTTGTAAACAGTAATAAAATATGGTAGATTCTGATTGGATGACCAATGTTTCCTGTCACATTCCTGTAATTGAAGAACTGATTAATGAATAAAATTTAGAACAAGAAATTATAGTAATACTGTAATGTCAAAAGGATATAGAAATAATTATAAATGAATTGTTTATAAAGTTAAAATGAGTAATGAAAAAGATAATCATAATGGCAATTAAAAATAAAGCAGCGTACCAGATAAGATGCAAACCCTGTCTCACTAAAAAACGGTCTGGAACCTACCATCTAGGTCACAATGTTAGCATTTTCTTGTGAATTATAAATGGTAAGGCAGTTCACCATAATGAGTTTTGAACTTGGCTCATTAACAAAAAACAGTCCTGCAACCTGAACATCTACATAGAGCACAATATTTACCTTTTATTTTATTTCTAATAATTGAATTCAGTGTAATTAAAATCAAACATTTTTTTTTCTGATAAAGTTAAGAGAAGAGATAGGTTTTCAATCTAACATTCTTGAAATACAGGTCTAGTGCACTGCCAGTATGTCAAAATGTTGCTAATTTTTATTTTAATATATATTTTATAAAATCTTAATGAGATATATTTAATTTGTTGATATCAACCTCAAGTATTTTCTGTCTGCAACAACATAAATGATAAACAGTGAGAGAAGTCTAACTTCACTCTTATATATAAACTTAATTAGCATAGCCTGCAGATTAAATGCATTGGGAATATAGAGTCTTGATTATCACTGAGCAATGTCATTGGCTGATCCATGTAGCATGTGATTTATTTCTACATATTGGATACGACTTTGCAAAATGTTGCCTCTTATGGAAAATCATAAAATTCCTAGTTTTGGTTCGATGAACTATTCGTAGGTTTTAAGTGTCTGAATTATTTAACAAGCATAGTATACACATAGGAAAGGAGTTTTAGAACTGAAGGAAATGTTTCTGAATGTAAACAAGAGATACGAGGGCTGACCTTGAAAGGCTGCCAGAGTGTGCTCATCTTTTTAGCCAAAAAATAAAGGAAGTTTGTATCATCAGAATGAAATTTTAAGTGGTTAAGGAAAATTCAATCAAAACCAATTATACGTATATTTCAAAAAATTAGATGAAATGAATTGATATATTAAATGAACATTAATTTTTAAATTGGCAGCAAAACTTATTAGATGCCCTTTGCATTACAGGACGTTTTAGACATAAGTGAGGGAATTTTAAATTCCATGCTTTTCCCATAAATATTTCAGTAGGGCAACAAGCATTTACCAATTACAGTCTATAGAGGGTGCTATAGCCTGAATTAGTCACCAATGCAATTGATGAATTTCAACCAAATCAAACTTGAGTGGTCCCGTTTTTAAACAGTTCAAGAAAATAAGGTTTAGTAAAAGTCATCAACCTAGGAACACAGCAGTAACGAAAATCATTAGAAGATAATATGGTGTAAAATATCTATTTCAAAGACAATTTTCTTTTAACTTTCTTTGTATTTCATTACAGCATTATTAAAAATGAATGATTTTCTCCCTTTTTTTTAGCTACAGTGGTTTTCTGTCATTTTACTAATGTTAACTGTTAAGGACAAATGATGGGTTGATTTCATTTTGATCCTTCAATGTGGAAATCTGAAGATAAAACTAAAGGCATTCGGATATCACATAAGACATAACTAATCCAACCTTTTAAATGTTAATTGTTATTTCCTTATAAATGATTAATTAAATAAGGTGTAGTAAATGTGACATGTGAGGTCTCACCACGAAATGAGACGCATCGTTGGTGAAATCATATTGAGATATTCACCAAAATATGTCAAAGGCAACATTTTTACAAAATTTTAATTTTAATGTTTCTGAATAACTTGATACTTTTATTTTATGATTTTGTACATTTTAAGTGAATTTTCTTACTAAAACAGTGTTCTCTTCGTATATTCTGTAATTCTAGTCCTATTATTTGTACAGGTTAGTTTATCTTTGAGACTGATTTTCACAAAACCGGGTTCTCATACACCTAAACTTTAAATGCTAACATCTCTGGATCTATTTATCCTAAGGAAGCCATTCAAAGACCAAATTAAAGCTTATAATATGATCTACCAAAATATAATATAAACTCATTTTTTGATTTTCTAACGATGAGACTCATTTTTTAGTGAGACCTCACATATACTTATAGTCTTTATTTAGAATTTATTTACACAAACCTTAACAATAAAATAAAGACACCTATTCTTTAAAATGTATTTGTGCTACTTAGTATTCAATATTAACATAGAATGATACCAAAACATTAATTTATCAAAATTATGGAGTGTCATTTTCTCCATTACCTATTTTTCCCTGTCTTTTCTTTCCATTTCCATAACTTCTTCCCTCACATTCTGCCCTCGCCAAATCTACCCAATTCCTCTATTGATATTGAGTAATATTTATGTTATTTTTTTCTGAAATTTTTCAGGGTAATTCGATTGGTGTGCTTGATATCTTTGGGTTTGAAGACTTCTATCGAAACAGTTTTGAACAGTTTTGCATAAATTATGCAAATGAGCATCTGCAGTACTACTTTAACCAGCATGTGTTCAAGCTAGAACAGGTAAGTGATAGTCTACCCATAAGTGAATTTAACAAGTAATGTTGTTGTGATGATGATTTTACCAAACCCTTGCGCACATAAGGACAGTTTGCTCAGAAATAGTTTTGTAAAGAGAATAATACCTACTTGTAAAATGTTTACATTGATTTTTTTGGGGTCAAACCTAACAGGTACATGGTTGGTTTGTCCAATGCGAATAGACCATCAAACAGTTTATTGGCAATTTACTGTTGCATAGGAATATGCAATCCATTTTAATACACAAAACATGAAGCATTTGTTATGCACAAATTGTTCGATGACTGCATGTTCAGCAAAGTCACTTTTTGGTCAAAATTATTTTTTATGCGACAGTGTTTAGAAGTAGAATTTTATTCTATGTTAAGCAACATGTTGCTGTGTTCTGTAGTTGCATAGTATTCAGTGCAGATCACCATTTATTTTACTGTAGGTATAATTTTTTCTGCTACAGTCTCATGGTGCTGATGCACTCCATGTAAATGGGACTTTATGCTTTAACTAATAAAACTCAACACTTGTATGCAGTGTTATGTTACTTTGCCTAATATTTCATGTTTACTGTTAATTAAATGTCACTCGGATTTCCTTTACAGGAAGAATACAGGCGAGAAGGAATCTTATGGGAGTCGATAGACTTCATTGACAACACAGAATGTCTACATCTGATCGAGAAAAAACCAACTGGTCTTATCCATATACTAAACGATGATTGCAAGTATGTCAACTATTACACTGTTTTCTGTTCTGATTAAATCAAGCTGGTTGTTATTTGTAATTAGTAATAACAAACTGCTCCCATTTTGTTGGTTTTTTTCCCTGAATTATCCTCATTCTTAGATTCTGTGATAATTTTTATTTTCTTTCTTGAGAAAAGTGACACAAGTCAGATTTTCCCCATATCTCTGTCATAGACAAAATTACTTAATTTATGTAATTTAGTCACTTAGATTAATGTATATTTTCTTCTTTTGTTTTTTTGTTAAGTTTCCCAGCAAAGGATAATGATGGGCACAACTTACTTGGAAAATTCATCAAAGAGCACAAATATCATACCTACTTTGAAACGTTGCCTATTAAAGAAGCTGCATTTATCATCGTTCATTATGCGGGACAAGTAAAATACCAGGTTAAGGTAAGACTAATGGCAGAGTACATACAAACTGATACATATGTTCCATCGTAGACAATCCACCAGACACAGAGACACAAAGATTGACCCTGACTTAAAATGCTACCGATTAGATAAGCTGCATTTATCATTGTTCATTACACCAGACACGGGAAATATCAGGTTAAAGTAAAACCACCATACACAGTCACAAAGATTGTCAGTAATTTGTGACGTCCATCACCTTTTATATGGCCCTTTAATCAAATTGCTGGTTGTAGAGCAGTGACTGTATATTCATAAATCAAACTGCGGGTTGTGGTGACTGGTTGCATAGTGATTACTGTGCACTGTGCGTGTGCATTAGCTGCGCGTATTAGAATGATTTGTTCGTGGTATGTGCACTGACACTCTTCACACAGCACTTCGCAGCTCCTCGCGATACGAAGATGAATAAATTGATTGTGGTTAATAAGGTTTATTAGGAATTACAAGATGCAAACAATCGGGAGGCACTATATCAAATTAGTGATCAGTTAGGGATAGGAAATTTCAGTCTGAATGAAAGTGATGACCACTTTCATATAAACACACCCCTCCCCATACCCACACTTACACCGACATGCATATACTATAGATATTTGGGTATAACTACCATCCAAACCCATCTATAAGCCTAATCCTAACTTTTGAGTAATTTTCATGCAAAAAAAATTTGTTACCAGGTATAAGCCCACTTTATAGGTTAAGCCTGATTTCCATAAAATTGCTACACTGTCACAACAGTGTTTCCAGTGCAATCGTTATACTGCGTAGCAGTCCCTGACGCTATCAGGATTCTCCCCCATTTGCTCGTCCTTTTCGTCCATAAAACTTAACCCAATTTTGCGCAACAAACAACGTTTAACATGCATTTTTTAGTATTTCCAACATAATTATATCTTTGGCAGGATTTCAGGGAGAAAAACACTGACCTGATGCGTCCAGATATCGTATCTGTACTTAAAAACAGTCAATTTGCATTTGTGCGTGAGATGGTTGGCCTGGATCCTGTGGCGGTCTTTCGTTGGGCTATTGTGAGGGCGTTCTTCCGAGCTATGTCAGCGTTCCGACGAGCTGGTAAAGATCATCGAGAAAACCCTGGTTAGTGAATATATTGTGAAAAAAGAAAAATTTGCACATAACACGCACACACTTTACCCATGCACATGTAGAAGCCGTACAAGAGTATGTCATGATCAGCTGGTTCAAGTAGCCATTTATGAGACCTTATGGGATTGGGTATCCAAAGGTTCATCGTTATTTTAGATGTGAATCTAACAAAAATTCGGAAGCGCTTTACCCCACCACAAAATTTCTGTATACATTATAAAATAACTATGGCTCACACACCAACAGTTAGCAAGATCCATATTAATTACATGCAAACTCATTGTTGCGTTTATACAAGGAAATCCCCGATCCAGATATCAAGAAGATGACTGTTGGATGACTGGCGTATAATAAATTGGAAATGCAGACGTCTGATTCGTTAATGATAGAAATGAGTTCAGCTTGCTAACCAGTAGCGCTTGCTAATTGATAGTAAGGAGCTTTCGATTGCACGACAACGGTAGGATGTAGAACGTCTGTAAAAGTCGTCTGCACATGCGAGAACGTTAAGTTCACCTCGTCGAGTAGATTCTGGAACGCAATTTGGCCAAATCTACGTATGCAGAGAACGTAGGACGCCAGGTGGGACAGTCACGTATGAGTGATTCCGTTCTAGTGTCGCGTCGTTGCACGAATCGAAAGCTCCTTATTGTATCCACTTCCTGGAACACTTAACTAACTGATCGGGCATTCTCACACGCATGCTAAGGGTTTGGGCTAACGGTTAGCCCGATCTGAATATTAAGGCTCTAGTTTAAACCTAACTTTTGATTGTGTAACTTGTGTCATTTTCTTTATCTTCGTAGACAAATCTACGCGGCCATTAGTGAAGCCAACCATCAGTTTGCCTGATGAATCTCTCATGAGGTAGGACTCAGCCTGTAACGTGGGGACAGTAAAAACATTGGTTTGAAAAATGCATTTTGTATGACTTGCATGCCAATGAAGTCTGGATATATAAAATTGAAATCATCTGCTGTAAGATGTGTAGTGGTGTCATTTTTATGATAACTGTACAGATTAGCACATTTGGTCATTTTAATTAAAATCGTTTGCTGTACCAAACAGGTTTATTAGGATTTTTAGTATTTCTAATATGATAAGGGCTGTTTTTTCTGCGTTTATTTGAGCAATTATTCGCAGCTGATGCATGTAGCTTTATTGAAATTCGTAAAAAGTAAGGAACATTTAAAATGTGCTATGGGAGGTATTGATTTGAAACTGTGGCTGAAATGTTTGCTGTTGCTATGGTGACTGATGTATGTTAAATTGTTTCTATGGCAGCAGTTTGTACACAGCGACAAGGTGCTATACTTGGCTCAAACAAATGAAGTAAGTTTCTTGGAAGGCTGCCAAGAAAAGTGAATGTTTATTTTCCGTGGCATTTTTTAATGTAGAGTTCATAGTTCATGTGAGTGCACTGGAATCACTGAACCGTGAACAGCTTAAGCATGCAATCATTAAATTTATTTACATTTCTCATTTGATTTTGTTTTTGTTTAATATCATAATATCTGGCTAATAAGTCCTGATTGCTTAATAGGAAAGACAACCAATTTAAAATATACTTTATTTAAAGATATATAATTTGTTGAGGGTAAAAAACAAGTTATATTTCATATATTGAACTAATTACCTTGCATATTTAAGTAAGTTATTAGCCTTCAGTTGAATATTGTTTTTGACAGTTAATATCAGGCATAATTTCGCTCTCTTATTTTTGCCTCGTTTAGACCCTTACTTTGTCTGGTAATCACTTTATTATTACCAGCCAAATTAATAGTTTAAGCAAAGAATATAAGAATGGATTTATGCGGGGCATTAATTGTCATCTTATACTTTTTCTTCCAATTGAAAGCTTACTGGAATATATAAAGTATGCAATTCAAACACTGAACTTTAATTAACTTGTTTTACCTCAAAATATATAACATAATTTGAAATCTTTTAAATTTTACTTATTTATTCACCACTCTGACCTCTGATCCTATTTAGCAGTCTGCGACTTAATTTCATGTTCAAGTGATTGTGAGATTTTCATTTAATTTTCATGTTTTTTTATGATTTTTTCAGTCAAGGAATTTTGCATGTAGATGAGCCTCATTCATGGGGTAAAGACAGTTCTCTGCTATTGCCCTCTTCCCCCGCTAACATGCAACCTCCCAGCCCCACTCTGATACAGTGGATGAGTACGTGGAAAGCGCGTCTTATGTACGGTGACGACTATGTTGACGCTGATCGATTGTTAAAGTAGGTTGGGTTAAACTTTCCCTTGTCTCACAAAACACACCAGCCTAACCCTCGATCTTATATAAATTTAACAAATTACGTTAATATCACTGGATATAAAGTTCTATAAACACATTATAAAAAGTAACATCATTATTTATCTGAAAAAAAGCATCTACTGTTTATATTCTTCAAAGAAATGCAATCATTTAAGTCAATGTTATGTAATGTTTATGGTAGTATAACAAAAATAAGTAATGTCATGATTTATGGTTATAAAAATTATCTGTCAGTTGTTCATAGAAATCTAACCAATATATTTATATAAAAAAAATAAGTATATAAAAAAAATCAAGTCATAATTTGTATGGTATTAAACACTTCTATCATTTTATAACAAATTATAATATAAAACAGTTATCCTATTTTGCAATACAAGGAAAAACCATAGTAACACCAAAATGTATAATCAAAAAATATAATTATTTATAAAAAAAAATCCTCAACATAAATCATGCTGTGAGAATCATATGGCACTCAATAAGAGAACTAAAAAGTAAATTGCAAGTACTGTACATATGAGAAGACAAGAAAAATATAAGCAAGAAATGTGTTTGAAAAGAAAGGGTTTTTGGTGATGGCGGTAGCACCACAATATTATGTGTAAGCACTGTTATTGCATTTATAGTGTTATGATGTGTGGTGCTGAGAGTAGAAGTAAGCATGGTGCTGAGAGTGGTAGTAAGCATTGTGCTGAGAGTGGTAGTAAGCATGGTGCTGAGAGTGGTAGTAAGCATTGTGCTGAGAGTGGTAGTAAGCATGGTGCTAAGAGTGTTTGCATGGTGCTGAGAGTGGTAGTAAGCATGGTGCTCAGAAGCAAGCATGGTGCTGAGAGTGGTATTAGGCATGGTACTAAGAGTGGTAGTAAGCATGGTGCTGAGAGTGGTATTAGGCATGGTACTAAGAGTGGTAGTAAGCATGGTGCTGAGAGTGGTAGTAAGCATGGTGCTTAGAGTGGCAGAAATCATGGTGCTGAGAGTGGCAGTAAGCATGGTACTAAGAGTGGTAGTAAGTATGGTGCTGAGAGTGGTAGTAAGTCTGGTTCTGAGAGTGGTAGTAAGCATGGTGCTGAGAGTGGTATTAAGCCTGGTTCTGAGTGTGGTAGTAAGCATGTTGCTGAAAATGTTAGTAAGCATGGTGCTGAAAGTGGTAGTAAGCATGTTGCTGAGAATATTAGTAAGCATGGTGCTGAGAGTGGCAGTGAGCATGGTGCTTAGAGTGGCAGAAAACATGGTGCTGAGAGTGGTATTAAGTCTGGTTCTGAGAGTAGTGGTAGTAAGCATGGTGCTGAGAAGCAAGCATGGTGCTGAGAGTGTTAGCAAGCATGGTGCTGAGAGTGGTATTAAGCCTGGTTCTGAGAGTAGTGGTAGTAAGCATGGTGCTGAGAAGCAAGCATGGTGCTGAGAGTGTTAGCAAGCATGGTGCTGAGAGTGGTATTAAGCCTGGTTCTGAGTGTGGTAGTAAGCATGTTGCTGAGAATATTAGTAAGCATGGTGCTGAGAGTGGTAGTATGCATTGTGTTGTTTAGTGTTGGAGATGTGGTGTTAGTACCATACAAATTTTTTTGAGAATGATGTTTGGTTAATTTTTGGTTGGTTAAGAGCTGATATGGTAAGCATTATGGTGTGATGGTGCATATTGGTGTTAATCAGATGTTTGCATTGCATTCGGTTTGCATCTAATCAAGTGCATGAAATCACTAATCATTGCAAAGCATTTGAACTCATTAAACTACATCAGTGTTAGTATATATGTTGTAAATTTATCATATACTTTACTATTTCTTTCAGCTTTTGTTGTCCATCCTGAACGCATTTCTTAATTGTTATTCATCACTAACACATAATTTAACACAGCTTGTTTTTACTACATCAAAATACAATCATTATGATGATAAATCAATGAGGTATTAAATGATTACAAACAAGTACACATTCATTTATAACATAATATACTAAGAATAATATTTATGATAAAATGAAACCATGTATAATGATTTTTAAAAAAGATATGATTATCAGCTTTACTTTCTGCACTCATGTTTCAAAACAACATTTATTTAAATTATATTTATTATTTATTTTAAGTATACATTAAGCCATGATTTAAAATCATGTAGATGCTAGAAATTATTATTGTTGTTTACATATGTCACTGCTGGCTACCATTATTTAATTTCTATATGCTTACATTGCCACCGATTATTTAACACTTTTTTAAAAGTGTCTAAAGATTCATCTGAATTATAAATAACAGTAAATGATGTATGTGGATTTATTTTGCACACATATCCATCCAATGGGTATTCATAAGGTAAGAGAGACACAGGGACTCTGCCACCAAGTTGGTAAGTACATTGTAAAATTATATATAATTTTAAAATAAAAACAATATTGAAACATTTTTATTGCGTATAACATAATAATTAAAATTATTTGTAGATGCATAACAATTAACATTTAAACATTTATAGTATTGTTATAAAGTACAGAATGCTAATATTTGTTACATGATGGTAGATGTATTATGTGAATTAGATGCAAAATATTTTTCACAAGATGAAAAAAAAAACATCAAAAAACCAAATTCACCACACTAGTTATATTAGGCATCAGATGCAGATTTAGGAGTGAAAGCCAGATTTGTATTGTCAAATTTGTCTATTAATGATTGTGATTTGATTACTCTGTTCTGGTTTTTTTTTTTTTTTTATTGGCTAACTTATTGTCAGTGATGTTAGGATTTAATGAACTCCAATTACTTATCTATATCCATTCTGTACTAGGGGAGACTAATTTTATACCTTGTTAATGCAAACCCACTGTTTGCCAATTATGATGATATCAAATAAAAATACAATTTTATTTTTGGCCAATTGGCGCACCCGCCAACATGAAAAAATGGAAATTTAAAAAAAAAAAGTTTTTCTTTATTTTTTTTACCCCTGCTGCTGCCTTGAAATCTCCATAATTAAGATAAGTATATTTCTTCCTAATTATACAAATTTAAAGCATTTCACTGGATTTTATTAGTTTTTTATTAGATTTGTTAATGATCGTAGATGTATTATGTGAATTAGATGGAAAATATTTGTCACAAGATTAAAAAAAAAAACATCAAGAAACCAAATTCACCACACTAGTTATTTTAGACATCAGATGCAGATTTAAGGATTTGTATTGTCAAATTTGTCTATTAATGATTGTGATTTGATTACTCTGTTCTGTTTTTTTATTTTTTTTTATTGCTAACTTATTGTTGGTGATGTTAGGATTTAATGAACTCCAATTACTTATCTATATCCATTCTGTACTAGGGAAGACTTTTTTATACCTTGTTAATTCAAACCCACTGTTCGCCAATTATGATGATATCAAATAAAAATACAATTTTATTTTTGGCCAATTGAAAAAATAGAATTTAAAAAAAAAGTTTTTCTTTATTTTTTTTTACCCCTGCCGCTGCCTTGAAATCTCCATAATTAAGATAAGTATATTTCTTCCTAATTATATAAATTTAAAGCATTTCACTGGATTTTATTAGTGAACAACATGCCATGGTTCTTGTGTTTGTTCTCGTTTTTAAGAGATGTGGTTTCCTCTTCGCATCAGCATGAAGTTGTACTGACCGACAGCTAGGTATTGGCTGGTACAAAATAACCATCGACAGGTGAATGACCACTGATTGCCTTGGATGCCTTTTTAATGATTTGTCCTCAGTGACATTACAAATAAATCTTTCAACTTCACAAATATAAGAACTATATATAAGGATATGTTTTGTAGATTTATCATGAAGGCAATAAATTAGAAAGTCACAATAACAATTCCTTGATTTACTCGGTAGCAGA